CTTCCAGCATCTGTTACGATTGTGGTGAGTACAATTAGGTACTAAATACGCAATAAAATATGGAAAGATATTTTGTTCCTAGTTGCATCTCGTGCTACCATCACGTCTGTTGCTAGAACTCTCACCAGTAAGGTGCCCACTGCAAAGAGACTTTTCTGGCGCACTGTATGTTCTAAAGAAATATGAGTTAATAAGACAACGAAAGAAAATACATTTTTCTGATCACTAAATATTTTATTTTTATTTTATCATTTACAATAATAGTTTACTTTCAGTACAGTCTGGCCGTAAAATTAATAAAGAAAGAAATAAAAATATACAGAGAAAAATCTGTAACTTAAGGATTTATTCTTCTACACATACGTGATGTCCACGTGTCCAAAAATGTATTCCTAAAAAGGAAATCGATTAGTTATCTAACATTTGTTAGCAGTATTTCTTTCTCTGTAGTATTTGTAATATATACGCTCTTTACAACCGACCTTGTAAATGAATCAATTTGTGATCTCAACGTTTCACACATACAACTATTTATTTGTTTCTTTACTATGATAATCATTAAGATTACGAATGAACTTTGTAAAACATTTACTCTATATTTTCCTGATTTACTGTTCTGATTTTTAAAGAAAAAGTAACAGGAGCTTCTCAGAATCCCTATAATTGCATGGAACGTTGTCTTGGGTCTGAGCTTCCCTCTGTTCTTTTTTCAAACTGTAGTTATAACTGACCCTGAAACATGTCGAACTCCTCGACCTTTATTAAGAATTGTGAGGAATATAAGATAGTTTATTATTTATTATATTAGGTACGTGTGACTTAATTTTTAGAGAGAAGATGTAATTGCTATGGCTAGTTGTGAACTTGACCAGGATGTGGAGAGACAGTTTTTAAATATAAGATTGTAATATAAAAAGGGTATGTGAAAGAATATCTGTTAAAAGATGTTAAAGGATGTAAGTTTATCAATAATTACTCTTATAACCATATCCTTGGCATGTTCATAACTAACCATAACAATAATTTTTTCACTTTAAAATACATCACAAACCTACAGAATAAAATTCATCATATCTTGTATTCCATATAATTCGAGTTTGTTTTGTATCCGCGAATGATATGTAGAGAAAAAAGTTGCAAAAAGAACACAAAAACGTGAATTTTTATGAAGTACCAAACGGTACCTTTCTATTACTGAATGAAATTTTAAATAAACTAATGGTTGTTATTGCTATCATAAATTTTAGTTCTAATTTTGTACTTATAAAAACAAAATTATTTATATTTAGAACATCAAATTCTAATTTTTTCTATTCACCATATATTGAATGTAATTTGAATAACATTCCCATTTGTATGGATCTTCCTTCAGAATACTCAACAAGTTGTACAGTTATTTATTACTCTGATTTCGAGAATAAATATACTTTACACTACTGCGTGACATTTTAAACTACAACTTCCTAAATTGGTTGCATAGGCATCCGCGGTCGGAGTTAGTATTATCTGGGCTATCCGGAACGTTAACGGTAGCTAACGTTTCGGCCAGCGTGTTGTGGAGAGAGCGTAGGTCTCCAGCGTGCTTCCTCAAATACGCTCTGAGGAAGACTACAATACGCAGGCCGAAACGCTAGACACCATGTCAGTGACGCGGCTCGCTGCGGATAGCTTAGATAATACTTGGAGCATCTTCAGAATGAAATGGAAAACTTCATGAAATTTTAAAACTCGTAGCTCTTACTATTTGACTAAGAAAAGTAATTCATGAAGAAAACTTGTAGAGAAATTTATGACCTTTAAATTTGTAACTTTAAAATTGTAATAACCATTTTTGCACTAAGATCAGACAATAAAACGTTATTATGTAAAAGCAAAATGAAGGGGAAAATGCCCGAAAACTGCGTTTTAAGACTACAAAAACGTTTCCCAAAGTATTTCGAGGTGTTAGGGTTTTATTACTAATACAAATATAAACAAGAAAATTCTACCACACCTTTTGCAAGATTCTTCTTGGCACATCACCTACACTATGTCAAATTGCTTGTTTTGAGCAAAGCAACATGGCACACGATTGAGAAAAGCAAACGGAGTGGTGACGGAATTATGTCTTTGCCACGTGGTTAACTTCTGTCATTGAATCCAGCATTAACGTTCCACGTAAAAAATGCATGCACTCCTCTACAGAAACAAAAATTGAGGGTTTCATCTGTACCTATGGCATTGTGAGGAAACTATGTTTTGCATGAATGCGCCCCTGAACTTGTGAGTTGAGTGTTTTGAGACACGCAACAAATACATCGTATTTGCAATCAAAAACTAATATCGAGAAGTGGACTGAACAATCTTTTTCTATAATTTTGAGCACCAACAATACTTGGTGAATATGTTTCATTGTATGTGTGTATGTATTTATATGTTTTTTATAAAAAAATTTTAAAATTATTTTGAACTATATTATGACCGGAAGTGTGCATTCGTATATTATATTCATTGTAAATATTTTTTATATCTTGATTAATAGTAATAACAATATAACACTAAAAAATGTGGTCAATAATCTCAATAAACACAATGACCAATTCCGTGAACCAATTTTATTTTATGGTTAAATTAAAGCAATAACAAACAGGATCTATAAAGAAAATATTGTTACAATGCCAGATGTCATGGATAAGCTAAACTCTTGTGAAAGTGCACTCACATTTTATTCATTTCCCTGACAGCCCTCTGTGAATATTCAAAGTTAAAAACAAGCATTAACTGTAAAAAACATTTCTTAAAATGTGACGATATGAAGACAAACCAAATGAATGAATACTATAAAAAAAATCCTTACTGAACTAAAATTATTTTCAATAGAAGATTCTACATATTTATTAAAATTATACATAAAATAATATATAGTTACGGCGTATTTTTACTTTGCCGCATACGTACTTCCCGTATACCTATCCCCGTATACGTTACTCCCGTATAAGGAGTAATATACGTAGTTCAGGGAAAATTATGTAATGCTGTAGATTTCGAGAGAGAGAGAGGGGGGAGNNNTTCCTAATTTCTTTGGTCTGGGCTAGCTTTTCGGGCATACCCCATCCTCTTGCCAGCTGCCATATATCGCCGCCCGAAGCACAGTTTTTAAACAATTCAAAGTTCAAAGTGACTTTTATGACATCCTAAACATTGCATTTAGCACTATCCGAAGAAAAAGTTTAATGATAAAATTTAGAGCGGTTTTTGAGAAAATAGCATTTGAGAGTTTCTGAAAATGGTGAAATTTGAGCTCATTTTCATAGAAAATTTCTGAGATCTTGAAAAACTTTAATATTACATAATTCTAGAAAATACAAAATTTTTGAAGTAGTCAGATACTCAACTCAGTAATCACCAAACTATATTCTACTCGCTGAAGGTGTCTGTAACCCAAAATGTCCAAAAATGTACTTATCATATTATATTACAGCACGGCTATAATATTAATAAGATATTTTCCGTTAACGCTGTAAGTTTAAAAAAGGGGAGAAATAAACCGCCTTTGTTCTAGTTCTCATCAATAGAGAGCATAAGCTCCCCTTTCTGCGTATTGGAAGCCAGTGCGAAGCGTTCAATTCTTGGTGTCCCAATGTGCTTGATGTGGCCTCTATTGCCGAAGTGTATACTACTTGTGCCGTTATTCTACCACATGCAACTTTCATAAAAATAAAATTTCGCATCATTTATGACATATTTTCAAAGGTAGAAACATGGCTTTTTAAAAAGTACCAACACTTTCATGGGATTTCTAGTTAGGTGTGATATGGGTTCGGAACGACCAAATGTAGGGCAACACTTGGGTGTCACTATGGGTTCCATCGCCGCTTATGAGTTGACACGAGCAGCCAGCAGTATGAGGCTGCCGACACATATCGTGTTGTAGCCGCAACTGCGGGCCGCGCGGTGGGACGCAGTGTGGAGGAAAGGGTTGTCTTATTCTTCTAACGATTAGGACTCGAAGTTAGCGGATATGAAAGGACTAACTCTTTGTTATCAACTTGTGATATCTAGTTTTCTAGAGTGACGATTCATTTATTTTTTACAGATTTATGTATATTTCTTTCCTCGTCTATCGAAGGTTTAACGGAAATCCTTATTTCCGCAGTAGTTTGGCCCAGTGGTACGAGGTGGAAATGTTTTCGCCTGATCTTGAGTTTTTATCTCTCGCGTACTCCGCCTGATAAGAAGTGCCGTGGCCATTCTCCCGCAATGGAGCTCCGGCCTATGCAAACCAGACGAGACATGTTGATAGAATCAGATTTTGAGGAGCTCTGTGAGTCATCTTAGGTCGCAATTCGAGTGTGTCGTGGCTAAGAAGTAAAAGAAGAAGATGGAGACAACTTACATCAGTCTGGAGAGGGCACACTATCACGTAAGAAGAAAAACTTAAAAAAGAGGAAGAAGAGGAGGAGGCTTCAGACATTACTTGTGAAATTCCACTGAAGTTTTTCAGGTATGGGAAGTAATGCTTGTATGAAGGCGAGAATCTTTTTTTCCGCGGGAAAACATTTGATTACTTTATGATGTTCACAGCACAAGAAATTGCAACGAAGTTCAATACCACTTTCCAAAATATCACCAAACCTATTATATTATTTTCGAATTCTGTTTTCGCCGTCCTGCAAGTTTGTACACACTGACCTCTAGAACGATCGGAAATCGATTGTTGAATACAGCAACCACCTCGCAGTTCCCTCCCGAAGTCATTTCCCTTGCTGCAGAGTGACGTTCATTCTCTTTCGGGCACTGATTTGAGCAGGTCTGCTCGAGATATATCATGGCAGTATTTTCTAGCTGTATGAGTAAATACATGAGTGCTCTACTTACTACAAATAGCATTATTCTTAATATTCTCTTGCATCACTATAATAGTACATGAAGACATTAGAATATAGCTAATAACCCAGAGAAAGACTTCTGGAAAATGTTTCAATTGTAGATTGTTTACATCTTAGAGATACAATTTCCTTCAATATTTGTGATCTAGTGAATAGTATAATCCTATTACTTTATAGTATGTCGTAATAAAAAAATATCAAAATATTGTTGACAACATTGATATTTAGAACCAAAAAAAATTGTGGCACGAATTACAATTTCATCTTCCCTAATACATTTCTTCTCTTCATAACTTTAATTATATTTCAATTAATTAGAAAGATTGCAAAGTCAATTTATTTTAAACATAACTTCGCTCCTATTTTAACACAATCTATAGGGTTATAACTATATCATCTACAGTCCACTTGGCAAGACCAGTTGCCTGGGAATCAAGTTGCCGTTATTTACTTTTATAATATTTCGTTTTATGACATCAAATTGCTTCATATTAAGATATTAAATTAATAAGCGTATTGTACAATGAAAATTACAGAAATAAAATATATTAATTACGTACAGATTCTTCTTATTTCTATTTAAATGGCAGTGTGATATGTTCCCATTACCTGCTATTTCAAGTTAAAATATTTTAATTTTGCTATCGGGCGTTACATATTTATATATAACCAATAGAATATTTTTACCTTTATCAAAATACTGCCCTTTGGGAAATCAGCACATCTCATGTCAAGTAGACGTTCTGATTGGTCTTTTGTTGTAAATACCATTAACATCATCACTGTCATCAAGAACACTCAAGTCTGGAGGATCTACGAATCCTGAATCATCGTAACGAGGTGTGCGGGTACCTGCAGGACTGTGCCCCATGAGAAGAGGTGTTCTTGCCCCTCCAGGGCTATTGCCAATTAACAGAGGATCGTCGTAGCGGCGGGACACCAACGTGAAATCGCGGTGAGCATGTACAAGTTTCTGGAGTCGAGATATTATTTCATAATCAGGAACAGGTAAATCCAGTCCCAAAAGTTTGCTTACAGATGTTCTGAAGCTGATAAGCTGAAATAGAAGAAAACAATTTGTGACATCTGCATGTTATTCAGCTCACGATACTTTAAAAATGGGGCCTCTGCACTTGTGGTTTCTATATTTTTAACAATTCAGAGTTAGTTAGAATTTGTATATTATTTCATATTTATTTGTTTTTTACATTGGACCTTTATTGTACATTTACACATTATTCTTTTAGAAAATTTTAAAACCTATTTCTAATATATGAATCAGCACAAGAATTTCCGTGAATAACGTATCACTGTTGGGTCATGATGTAGCTGTATGAAAATCAGTTATAGTTGTCAAATTTGTGTTGATATTTGCTTCAAAATATTTAGTTTTTTCACCAAATGTTGTACGATTTGTAATAAGTTTTACAAAATATGACGACTAAGATGCGTTAATTCAGAGAGAACCGCTGGTTTAAATTTGGTTGTGCTAGCTTGACAGTCACGACAGTACAACCACATTTATATCATAAACGGCAAGAGAAATACATTTAATGTTTAGGTAATAAATTAGTAGTAATAAAAGGGTACTAAATATTCTATTTGGTTTGATGTAATTGTGCTATAGTGGTTGTGCCAGCTTGACACCCATTGAAATGAGTAGAGTATTGTGTCGAACACTAGATTATTATTTTGTACCTGTATTCTTCCAACACTAAGAAAAACGCAGTGATATCTGACAAAATATTGCATATTGAGATATGTATATCACTGCACTCAGAAAAATCAGCTTTCTACTTAGCTTAATCAGTATATCGTATCTGTAATGCTATATAAGTTATTTGAATTAAAAACACAGTATCTACATCTTATTATAGCTGTGTTCTTAGGAAGAACGCAGTGAACAGAGGGTACTTATTAAAAACGCAGTGTATGACCGCCATTTACAGAATTTTTCTTAATAAATGCATTCCCTGTAAGAAATATATTGCATTCTCTCTAAGAAACTTGCTGGAATTATCTAGTTCTTTTAATTTGAAGTACCTATTGGAAGTGTGTGTTATGAGAACAAAAGCGCTAGTTTATTAATCAAAGTACCAAATAGTGCTATCTGAAATTAATAAATCACCATATTAACGCCAATTCAAATCTCAGTTAAAGAGACCATAATGTGTAGTTGCATTAATCGTAATTATGCTGCCATTTACAAATGAAACAATGCTCAAATCATATAATTTTTAAACCATACAAATATGCGGTCTTAACAAAAATGTGCAGTATTATGACATGATAGTGATATTGTAGACCTAGATTTAGAACATTCACAAATATGGAGTGAGAAAGACAATGTACTCATTGAGTTGCACGTTCCTGCTAAGTAGTCTGCTGAAAATCGACTTCTAGAAAGGACTGAAGGATGCAGGAAATGTATCTGCGCTCCTTTTTCAACAGGTGCGCACGCGGCGCGGCGGCGCACTTTTCGATGCGGGCAAAAGGCGAGTCTCCTCCTAGAAAAAGCGGCGGCCAACGTCACAGGTGTCCAAGATAAGTGGAGTGCCTGACGAATTACGATGGAGTGCGGCACACGCGAGACGAGGTCCAGCTAGTTAAGGCAAGTCGCCGTGAGGAGCAGCATGGTCGCCTAGTGAGAGGCGATGAGAGGCAACGCGAGTTGAAGGTCGTAAGGGGCCCACGCACGAACCGAACCCGAGAGCGGGAGGCTTCCCCACCCACACCAGATACGGCCCACCTAGGGCCGTGGCCTTTGCCGGGACAGCAAGGAGAATCAGCAGCTGAAACCGCATTCCGTCCAGTCGGCGGAGGTGCACATGAGAGGCACATCACGCTGTCGACCTTATGTAGACTTTGGGTTGAGCTGTATATTTGTTTGTTCTGAATAAATAATTGTTGAAGGGCAGAATAACTTTCACTACTCAGGACATGTTAGAAACGCCGAACAAGGAGCATAAAAATTTACAATGGTATTGAACTTCGAATGACCTATATAATTGGTAAATTAAAATGCACATAAAGAATATCAGACGATTGCAGAAAAACAATAAATTGCAAATTTTGGTCCATGACATGTATTGAAAGAAAAGCATTTGTCCTTCTTCATGTCAGCGCTTTATAAAGTTCAAAGGCCTCGGTTCTGCGTCGGTTCTGCGTCGGTTCTGCGTCGGTTCTGCTAACTCCAAGAAGAAAAAAAATGTTATACTTTAAAAGGTAATGATGGCAGTCTTATGTTGTGTGCAAATCATTTTTTAGCTGCACTTGGTAATAATAAATGCAACGACCGCTTTGTTTTTGAAGTGCCAAAGACACCCAAAGGAGATTTCTCTCCTCAGCCAGATAAAAGAGGCAAATCTCAGCCAGTCAATTTCATCCCTAAAAAAGAAATACGTGAACATGACGCAAGTTTCAACAACGAAATCGAGCACTACTGCCAAGTACACGAACAGAATACTCTGTACATGAGTTTACAACACTAGGCAAGTACAATGATTTCTTAACTAAGCAGACTAACATCGACGTTTCTTACAATGTGTATAGGTGTGAAGTAAAGCGCAATATAATCTCCTTTGCCAAACTTAGGCATGAAGAATGCGAATCGTGTGAAGCTTTTAGAGTACATGATCATGCCTGAATACTTCACTGATGACTGCAGGAAATCCTGCTTGTGGAAAAAGCACACTAATGCCGCTAAAGAAGCGAGAACTCTTTACCTAGATCAATGGAACAATCCTGAAGAAGATACAGTATATTGACTGCATACCTTCAGAAAGTGATGTTACCGCGAGTAGGCACTTAAAAAATGTTTACAAAACGTTTAACAGTCTACCAAGGAAATTTTGTCCCCATTGGAACTAAAACATCCTTGAAACCACTTTCCATTTTGTGGCATGAAACTGTATTTGGCAGAAAAAAGAAGACTTTGTAAGTACTTTTTTTTTTTTTGTTATTTAAGGTCGCATCAACTACTAGGTCATTAGCGACCACTATTGCTTATAATGGTATGGTAACTGTGGGTTGACACGATAATGATGATGATAGGGGGTGAAATGACGAAACACACAACAACCATGCCCAAGGCGGGACTCGAACCCGCGATCCTTCGGTCCGAGTTCGCTACGGCACTACTGCCTTAGCGATCTCGGCCACCAGATCGGCTAAGTACTTTATACTACTTTCTAAAGTACTAGAGATATGCAAAGAACATTGTCGTCTGGCTTGATAATTGTTCGGGGAAAAACAAGAATTGGTGTCTGTACAGTTTTTTAGTCATGATTGTAAACTCATATGAAATAGCTGCAGAAACCATCACTCTCAATTACTTTGCAGCTGACCATACTTTTATGGCGGCCGAAAGCTTTCATCACAGCGTTGAGCAGTCACTGAAACGGCAGGGAAAACCTACCGTTTCTAGAATTTCTGTGATGCAATAAAATCATCCACCTTCCGTCGAGGTAAAACAAATGGACTATTCAAACTTTTTCCAATGAACTTATTATACATCACATTCAAAACTAAAAAGTGATTCCAACCGCGCCTACTTGGCCGACATGGCTCAAGTCAAAGTGTGTCGTGGAAAGTTACGTTTGATTTTTAAAATGTCCCACTCAGAAAGTTTTACAACAGTCTCAGTTTTTGATGAGCAAAGCCTTGCCAATATCTCCATCATTTGCAAAGCCTTCTGGGTTCTCCAAAGACAAGAGAGATAATTTACTGAAAGATCTTGGCCAAGTTATTCCAAAATACCGGTAAGCTTCTCGCTGAACGTACCAGTGTATATGTAGTAGCGAGTGTTGTTTTGTAACTTCAAGTTTTCAAGTTTGTGTACCATAATTTTTTCACCTTTATGTATTCATAAAATTAAATACATCATCTAATACTTAAATTCAGTTTTAGTAAACTTAGTATACTATTATAAAAGGATTATAATAGCATTATAATGACATTGCTTAGTAACAGTGCAGTATCCATTCCTATCCTAAGATTACCTCACATTGAATAAATATAAAGTACAGATGAACGCTAATAATGCTGAGTCAAAATGCAGGAACTGCTTTATTTTATTGCTAGAATGAAAAAATGTTAGAATTTTAATAAAATAGTAACATAAAATAGTATTTAAAAATCCTATTCAAATAAATATACAGGTACATAATAATTGTTGTTACGAACACAATCAACACAGCTTGTCAAAGTCAACTTATTTTGTATATATACTGGTTTTCCTTGTGAGGGCAGTTTTGTACTGCTCTGTAATCGTGTAAGATTTTTTTCAGAATATATTTTATGAATAACCCTTGTACCCTGATTGGGGTCTTTTCTGACCCCACCGGTAATATAAAGTAAAATATGTGTAATTTTATTTCTACAAAAATTTTACGGTCTAGGTTTGGTCCTTCTAATGCCCCAAAAAAAATCAATTCATTTTTAATAAAATTCGATTTTGAATTTGAATCAAATGTTCCTGACATGATTCATTACTTGAGGGGTAGTGAAATAAATATCACAACTGATAATTTTTTCACATGCTATGAACTTGATTAAGAGCTTCTTCTTCTATCTTACTCTTCCATGCACAACCCGCTTCAACCGGGGAGAAATACCAAAGGTAATGCTACCATCCAGGCCTAGAGAAGAGTCTTGGAGCATCTTCGGAGTTGCCACAAATATACTCTTACTACCACACGCCTTCAATAAAAAATAATTCAATTTTCTACAATACATGAAACATTTGATATCAATGCTGATGAAAATAACAAGCCAGAGATCCTTTTGTAGCACGAAGTAAGAAGTTAACACTGTTGCCATAAATGCAAGACAATATTTTACAAACGTGACACGAAGAGATAGATATGGCAGCAATCAATGCTCATGTTCCATACAGAAATATTACACATTAAACATCACATTAAAAAAATAACAGTGCATGGAGACAGTTTCTGATAGACCTTGCTAAGGAAATGGTAGAACATGAAATGAGAGTCTGCAGAATACAGAATCTGCAGAGAAAAACCAGTTGCATCGCACCCAGACTACTATACAAAAATTACGAGGTAGGAATGGGAATAAGGGTGAGGAATCCGGTTTATGGGCGATGCATGGTGAACTGGGAATGTAGGACATACCAAAATACTATAAGAGATATTACCCATGCCATAGAGTGATTCGAACTCCTAACATTGGTGCAGCGCGTACTTGAGTGCATACGTTCCAAGTCCCTGCGCCACGAGGCCCAAGGCGCAGGGGCACTTAACGCGTTCACATATTAATAAATTTGATGGACATTTAGTTACGAACCTGTTCATTTTATTCAATAGTGCATATTATTTCCTGTAGAGCACAGTCTGAAAGAATATGCGTAATTGAAGTTTTATAACTTTTAGATTTTTGATACTTCTCTCAATGCTCGTATACAAATATATTATATTGAATTGTGCTATCATGCATTGTATTTTTCAACGTACCGAATTTTCTCGTCTTTGCGTATCAGTTAGATTCTGCTTCACAGAAGCCAGCTCGTCTCTGAGCATTAGCACGGTTTGGTCGCTGCAAGCACGTTCTTGTTCAGCAGTTTGGCTGGTTGTGCGAACCTGCAAAAAGGGAACGTTGTGATGAACTATTCCAAGAAATAGGGTAATGTTCTTAAGAACAGCTAGTTTAGTGAATTGAAGTCAGATTACCTGATCTTTCAGTAAGTTCACTTTCCGACCGTAACGAGTTCTGAGCATTTCTGATTCGACTAATCGTTTTTGCAAATCTTCAATCTTACGACCACGTTCCAAAGCAGATATCTGAAAAAATACACATCTCATAATAAAAGTATGAATACATTGCCATTGATATAATTTTCTTCTGATTATTTCTGTCGTTTAGAATTTCTAATTAGTGTACTGACTTCAGAAAGGCAGAAAAAAACTCAAAAGCAAATGCTGTATATTCAAACAAGTGTACATATTGTTCTTTAACATTTGTTTCATAAATATTAAAATTTGTTTTAAATGTAATGAACGAACTGGAGGGCCTGATCGTCCAATGTTTGCTATTTCTCTCAGTGCTTGAACTCTTGAATCGTTGTATTTTCGTTCGTATGATGACGATACTCTCTCCCTTTCTGGTCTTTTTTAGGGGTATCTCAAAAATACGTACAAACTTATAGCTCCTTCTAAACCTCTTTGAAATAATCAGTAGTTATTATTAACATTTCACTGACTTAAACAAGCTCCTTGCTATCCTCTTGTGTACCTGACTTACTGAGGCACAAAATATATTTTTTCTAAATTTGAGTAAAATCTCGTAGCGTTCAATCTGATATATTTATGATTCATTTTAATACATCCCTAACTTGAAAAAAATAAACAAATTTAATCTTTCAAATGCTGTAAGAGTATTCCCTTTTCTATCAACTTCCTCCGTCGTTTTCATTCCTGTCTTCAATGTGTGAAACCCCTCATCCAAATTGCATACGTATTTCTCTTTGAATGAATTTCTTTTCATTAACTATTCTATTAAAAACAATTTTGAAAGTGGACAGACAGAAGAACAGGTTATTGGCCTGATCCTCGCCATCAATAAGGACATTTGATTCGATTGGATTGGATTGGATTGGATTGGATTGGATTCGATTTGATTGGCTGGGCTGGGCTCGACTCGACTCGACTCGACTCGACTCGACTCGACTCGACTCGACTCGACTCGACTCGACTCGACTCGGCTCGGCTCGAATCGAATTAAATTTATATTCAGATGTTTTAAAGTTTTAAACAGTACCTTCGGGATTATTATTGAGGTGCTAGAGATGACAATGGGGATGATTCTCACATGGTGCTTCGATACTTTAAACCAACAGAGCATATTTTTGATATTCTCGACATATTTCTCTTAAAGATTTGTCTTGTTTGGTATGGCTATTTCGTTTAAATAGGAATGCATTTTTGTATTGTTTACTAGAACCAAATCAGGCTGGTTGTAAAAAGTCATCATTCATTTTCGAGAACATTGTTAGGTACATATTTATAGTATAGTACCTTATATTATATACGCTGGTGTTGGTAAGCAACCACTTGATGCAGGATCTTTCCAACTGTATAATGTCGTTGTTTGTAATCAGTTTCCGAGAAATGTGTGCATTCAGATGTAATATGGTGGATGTTTTCCTGTGCCTGGCATCCATATCAACATCTGTCATCTTGTATCCCAGGAACTCTTACCATATTTCAGATATCTTCTGGTGGGTATGAATTTATCATGTATTGCCAGAATAGTGCCTTCTGTCTCCGGAAACATCTGACTTGCCACTAGCCATTAGTTCGACGCTTTCATGTCGACATGATCTGGACTAATTGCGTACAGATGCTTTCCATGCAGAGGCTTGCTCATCCACGTTTTCAGTTTGGCTCTGCTATAGAATTATTTCCGTTGTATTCTTGTTGACATAATTTCAACGGTGTTGATCCATCTGCTCGTAGAGATTTTATGTTGGCACTGTTTGTTGCCTATGTCCTATTGTGGCAAAGGACCTCGACCACCCAAATGTCTTGGCAACCTTATTCTTTCGACTGCTGATTTTGGATGATTCTTTCTGGCATTCTTTAGTCATCATTGTGCGAAGTTTTCTTTCGAAGCTTTCGACTTCTGTTGTACTCCATTGTATATCCCCAAAAGGGTACCCGAGCACAGAGACAGCATACACATATGTGTTGAATGCTTTGATCATATTCCTGCTATTGAGTGAGTTCTTCAGAACTTGCCTGATAATTCCTGCAAATTCTGTCGTCAGTTCATTTTTATCATCTACACATCTATCTTGTTTGACACCTAAATACTTGTAGGTCTCGTCTGCAAGCATTGCTCTTATAAACTGTCCTTTTTTTGTTGGAATCCATGATCTTGAATTTTACTTCTCACTATTTTAATTGTCCGACATTTGTCCATTCCAAATGGATACATACATACCTTGAGAACGTTTCAACAATTTGCAGGAAGTGTTCTAGTTGCATATTTGTAGCAGCTTACAAGTCATCTATATACGAAAGTCACCCTCGCTGAATAGTAATATCATCCGTTTTAATTGTTTCCTTTGGAGTGTTTAGAGCAACGAGTTAGAGATATATATAAAGTGGCAATAGCTAAATATAAAAAGCAGTATATAAAATGGCATCTTTGAAACAGTAGAGCCACTGTCCGCCATGTTTAAAGGTGTCAACCTTTGCGCGGGATTTCAAAATTTCTTCGCATGCAATGCACTGACATGAATACGCTCTTGCACCGTACGTTTATTGAAATTAAAATAATTTGTTTAATTATTTAAATTATATTCATTTTCAAAATTAAATGTAAACAAAATTGAATTTATATATCAATTAGGATAAAATATAGTTATATCATAGACTAAGGAGGTTCATTACTCTATGGTTATACACATAAGTGAAAAAAGTGAACATTCATTAATTTAATTTCTCTATGTTTTTTTTAATTTCTCTATGTTTCACAAAAAAATTGCAGGATATTAATAAAAATAAGTCTAATAAGAGAATACATAATAGTAAATAAGGTAAGTACGTTCAGAATGAAAATACACAAGCGCTTCATGAGCTTACATTAGGATAGTTTTATTGACCTTTAAATAAAATTAATTTTGTAAACATCTGTCTCACATTCTTTCCTTTCATCTCTGCAGATTTCGTTTTACAAACATAGTGAATTCTGCATGTAAAATAATGCTTCAAAATTAATTTTTCAAGAGATTGCCCCCGTAGCTGTAAACATATGGTTACAATCAAATAATGAGCAATGCGATGGCATTGAAATCACTTCAGTATGACATTTTAGCACTCTGTTCTTCGGATTTCTTACTAAAATTACCTCATTTCTTCTGAAAAGTTGTCCAGCAATCTTACAGAGTTTTATCACTCCCTGTGAAGGATTCACAACGGAAGTATTGACATCTTTCAATGCAATTAATTATTTTTTTCTTTCCCTTTTGTTTTGAAACAGAGCATCCAAACATTCAGCACACTTTTTTTTTAATTCCATACATAATACTCCCTGCAATGTATTCGACATTTTCAACAAACACTGAGTATCTAATACCCTGGATTGTAATAGTCATGGTCATCTACTACTATGCAAGTGCTTACATTTTCAAAACTCTGAGCCTCCTTAGTAAGCATTTTACTATCAAAAAATGTGCTATTGCCATTTTCAGATGGCATGACCGGTGCAATTAAATATTTTCTGTAGGCCGCATGGAATTGTACATCATTGGTATTAGTTCTGTGACCACCTCTTGTTCGTAAAGAACTAAAAAATAATTCCAAATGGTCTTGGCTAAACCTGCGAGTTAATAGATATTTAAGCTTTGAATTATCATCCCATATAATTTCCTGCAATACCTTTTATACTTAACAGGTCATTGACAATGGTATCTTTTTGGCTGATGTCCACACAGATGAGCCATCAGCAAATTTTAAATTTTTGAAGTAAACAACGCACTCATCAATTTGACTGCACACTGCATCTTTGTTTCTCTTAGAAATGGAAGCATTTGTCCTTTTACCCATTGGATGAGAACTATTTAATACGTCAAATGTTAAATCAGATGTTTTTATGAACTTCACTGCACTTTCACAACAGTGAAATTCATTCATCCCAATATTTTTGCAAAACATCAATGCTTTAGCCACTGATAGACTGAGCGTCTGAGCTGTTAAACCACCTTTCATTTTCCGTGTTTCGTACAGTAAATTCTTTCTTCATAATTTATTTGCAGCATGCAACCCTTCTTTTTCTTGAACATTTGTTAGTTTTCAAAATACTCCCACTTAACTTCACTGAAATTTCCTGCAGTACCATCAATAATTTTTTTTTCTCTGTTAGAAGATTACGGGTTAACTTGAGCATGTGAGCAGCATCAAAAAAACAGAAGAGTTGAGTATTAACCTGTGGCTTCGTTCTCGAGAACAATTAAGCAACTAAAGCAACTAACACCGAAGAAAGGTAATTCAGTAGAGAGTTGATTAACTCAGTTCAAAACACTCTGACACCTTGAAACATGGCCGCCTTATTTCACGAATATCACGCTAGGAGCGCTGTTTGCCTCTCTATGTATCTCTTACTCGTTGGTTTAGAGTCATTCTTGTGCATCACGTTGACATAACATGAGACAGAAAGTTGAAGATTTTGGGGTCAATTTTGTATATTTTAAGGAACTGAAGAAGCCAGCTGTGTGGTACCGAGACAAATGCCTTCTTACAATCAATGTAAGCCGTACATATATTTTGATAGTTCGCATCAGCTTGTTCTCATGCAAGTGAGTCAATTATAAACTATCCTTTACAGCCCTTTGATTCTCTGCTGCAGCCTTTTCTCTGAGAGGCAATGATGTTATTTTGTTCACAATGACTACACATTTTCTTAGCTAAACACGACGTTATAATTTTGTATAGCTTATGCAGACAGGTAATTGGTAATTTTGTGGTAATTTTGACAGGTAATTTTGTAGGGTCATGGGTATTTAATGTCTTTAGGTAATAACTAAGTGATACCATTAGTGAGAAAACCAAGCATTTTCATTGAATCATCTAAGGCATCGTTAATGAGTTGACTCAATTGTTCATGTCTCTCTCTTAGACCAAAAGTTTTGAATCCTATACGGTCCTGGTGACTTCCAATTCATTAGTTTACCAACCGCATCTTTAACACCAATGGCTGTGAATGACACATTTTCCATCTGTGGTCGTTGCTCTGACGTTTGTTGCCTTAAACCCAGCTTGCCTCTGAATTGCAGTTTTTGGCATCTGAGAGCTATCTCTTCCAAACGTCATGAACTTTTGATTCTTGGGGCAAGTTGAGCTTTTTGTCTGTCTCATTGGTAAAAGATTTTTCAGACTTACTTAACAAGCATGCCAGCACTAATCGGCAGAATCCAGTGGGTTGCAAACTCGTCGCGCACGTATATGCCGCTCTGCTTCAACTTAACATGTAATTCTGTATTTCTTCAACTTTTATAAATTCAGTGAACTAGTAAAGTGTCAGTAGTAACGACCTCAACAGTTCTATGTTCGATCATGATTCAATCATCAAACTGTAAGTTATTATGTACTCATGACGTCATCTAAGCGACATTCCATTAATGAATCAATTATGATCAGCTGCGACACTGTTAGTGCATCGGACGTTCACAGAACTTTTGTTCACTTCAACTGCTTATCAGCTTTCAACTTAGTTGCCGTAATCTGTTCTTGTACTGGTAATATGTAATTGTTAATGAACTATTCATTCGTGGAAGATGAACAGTGTTGCACAGTGTTGCATTCATTGAGTAGGTCCAGAGCCGTTTGTGTATCAGCAAGCATGATTTAGCACGTCACTAATCGTCTCTTTCCAAAATTATTAATGCTGCGCTTATTCCTCGATAAATAAAATTAGTTTCGTTTTATTTTCATTATTTATTGCTCACAACCGTTAATTTCTGACACATGTATGCACCTCCTGTGCTCACCACCTGTATTCGCTAGATAAGGAAGAAAAGACCCTGAAGGAAACAAAATAAAGAAATCTTCAAATTGCATCATGCTTTTGAGTGCTCCTTGCACATTACTTTCGATGACAACAGTAGAAACGACAGAGTTAAATGGAAGCAGAACTGACATGCAAACGTCATTCTCGCACAAGCACTTTACTGTCGATGAGTATTTTTTAGGACATAATTCGATTCTCTTCGTGCCCGATGCAGATGATTCTGTTGTTGAAGAATCTCCAATAATTACAAGCTTTTCAACAACGATGCCATTTAGAATCTATCTGCCGCATATTGATTCTTCTTTCATAATAAGCATCATTGCATGCTTCCAAATTTCGTTACTTGAGCTAACTGTCTCTTGGAATAATAATTAAATTTCCTGAAGTTTAAATGTTTTATTATTACGTGCCACATAGCTCCATGTTGCTACCAGTAGAGACGCAAATGAAAGACCTTTCACGCAAACTTAGATTATTCAGAATGGCAAGTATTGCTTCTAAAAAACTCTTTCCTATTTTTGGTGGTTGATAGAAAATTGTGGTTAATGCGTGTTTAATTAATCCATTATATTAGATACGTTTATGAAGTATTACCTTGTAATCCGCTGCATCTGATAACTGGGTTTTAAGATCTCGCATATGATTGCGTGACTCGTTCAATTGAAGCTGTAAACGGTCCATTTGCTTCAATACCTTCTTCGCCCTGAAGCAGATTAAAACACTGACAATTACCTTTACTCGAACAAGCTGTAAAAGAATGTTACCTTACGTACAGGATGACCACTCGACTAATGCAGCAGAAGTGTTTAAATTCACCTCAAGCTTTTTAGAGGAAATTAAATCCTTTTCAAGAGTATCATGTTAACTAAATAAATATTTAAATGATGCAAATTTAGATACCATACTCTTTGGTATTTGGTAGTTTGGACATAACTCTTACTGAAAAATTTTTTGTGTACAAAATATAAATGACACATCTTCTCTTGCTCATTAGTTACACATTCTACACTTATATATTAGTAATATAATCTATATTTAGCATTTCCCACTTATGAGCTCTGCTTTCAAGTAAATAGCGTCTCACTTAATGATATAGTATTTAATATTACAGTGCGACCAATTAATAAATGTGCCGGTTGCGCGGTCATTTGGCCTCTCGACGAACGAGGCCACGGATGCCGGGGAAGTAGAAGACGGTGGGTAAAATCGCTTAAGAGGCAAGGTGGCTTTTCGCTATCGGAAAGTATCAATTGTATTGAGGATGGAACCACTAACCACATGCTGGAACCACTTACCTCTGGCTCTGATGCATTATTGACATCTACACAAGTTCTGGTTCACTCGGTAAAGAATGTTCTGTGGTATTGCAGAGATCTGTTCCGGTGTATTGTGCCGTAATTCTTCCGTGTGGAGATTTGTCGCATATATGCGATCTTTCAAGAATCCCCAAAGAAAGAAATGAGAGTCAGATCAGGAGAGCGTGTAAGTCACAAACTGTGTGATCATTCTGTCTTCATAAACGGCATTTAAATCCTTAAGGAAACTGAAGTAATGTTTGCGGTTGCTGAGTCCTGACGAAAATGACCGTAATTTCGCTCATGTGTCAACTTTGGAATAAAAGCTACATGATACGATGCGCCTAACTGTTTGACAGATTTTACGTATGTACAATAAGTCAATACGTTTACTTAATAAATTTACCAAAGAGTACAATACACAAAAACATTTTGTCCGAGAGCAAACTTCGAGCGAGCCATCATAAACCGACTTTTCTCCAAGACTGGAAAGCATGACTTTTGCTGAGCGAGACCTTGAGCAGAGTTCCCAGGGGAGTTCATGACACAGTTCCCCGCCGTTTGAGGGCCCGTCGGCCGGCTAGAATTTTCCACGATCCACATCCATTTTCCACATTGATAAAATAGTCGCTCTGTATAATCGTATAGTTAATTCTCTAAGGTGATGTATCATTTCAAAAATTTCTATTACTCCAAACTTCTTGCCTTACTCATAATAAAATTGTGTATTAAAATTAAAAATGCGGTAATAACAGAGTATTTTTCTTGTAGAAAACTTATCTGTGTAGTTTCGTGAATCCAAGATACAAGATTCGAATGATATCTCAATTTCTCAACAAGCAGGTTAAACAGATACATGAAAAATGCAACAAAAAGAGAAATAATGCAAATTGATCCGATGAATTTAGTGACTTTCAAAAGTGTTAATTTTACGCACTGTTTTTAATATTCTTAACAAATCGAATCTATGTCTTCGGTAGTAGAATTACTTTAAAACTTTTTTCTAAAATTGTATTAGAGACATTGATGTCTGAAGAAATATTTTTTTAGTAATTTTATATGTGGCTTGATAGAAGAAAATTTGCCATAATTATAAATTCGTTGTAATTTTTGAACAAAAAACACAAGTATTAAGCTGAACCTTTACTGTCAAATGTATCTGACATTACTAATCATGAATTTAGAAACAATGAAATGAATACAAGTATACATATACATATACCCAAATATTACTCACTAACAACTATTATGGTAAAAAATAAATATCCCATGTACTATGTTGAATTTTGTAAAAGTTGGCAGACTCAGATTTTCCGAAAAAAAAAGATGGTTAGAAAATTGGGTTTAACTGTCACTTCAGAGCGAGACATTCACACCGGCTTCAGCGGCTACGTGTCCTGTGCCGTTGGGTGTTACCTTATTTTTCCGTACTATCGATAAAACTGTCGTCTCTACGGGGAATTGCTTCTCTATTATCAAGTTTTTTATGCGTTTAATTCAATCTATTAAATGCCCATACGTAAAATGCATTTTTTTTAACATTTAAAATGATATACAGGGACGTATAAAATAGTTGAAGCGATCCAACAATTATGGGAATTAACAAACCTGCTGGAACGCTCCAATTATTACATTTACAGATGAATTGCCTACCGATCAAAGGCAAATGTCACACAAGTAACTTCGTATTGATATTCCCCGCCACATGTTCAATGGCAAAATTAATCAGCTTCTACTTCTACATGTGACCTATAAGTGTAATACATTTTTCTTAAAACTGACCAAAAGAAATACTTCTAGTTAAAAATTAAAAGTGTGTCAATATCTTCAAAATTAAAATTGATACACACAAAGAAACGAATTATGTTATTTCCCCATCATATACAACACTATATTCAAGATCGCATCCCCAAACCTCTTCGAAGATGTTTGTTGAGACGAAATATATATATATATATATATATATATATATATATATATATATATATATATATATTTGATGCAAGCATTGGCAAACATTGGCATCAATAAAATAGTTTTTAAAATGGGTTTTGGGGTACCATAAACACATAGAAATAGACCCTTTTAAAAATGGCCACAGCTCCGTAATTGTTTATCCAAAATACTTTTAATTTAGATAATATTAAAGCTTGAAATCTCTACTTTAAGAACTTTGCAACTGGCTAAATTTGCAATGGGCGCTATTACTGATAACAATCCACATTTGAGCCTGCTGTATCTCATTTCTTTATTCACTATTAGCCTGTATTGAACATATTTGTGGAGACATCAGACTTTCTTGTAATATCCAAAACAATTATATAATGTTAATAAATATATTGAAAGTAATAAATTTATAAAATTTCAATCTATCACATACAAATTTCTCTTCATTTAACTGTTTGAATTGGATACATTATGCCTATTTTCCCCTATCCTCTAAGAAAACAAACGTATAACTAAACGATCTCTCGATATTTGTCTAATTGGCAACTATGAATCGATTAATCAAACACATTCACAGCCTCCGTAGCCGTAGCAATATAATAGAAAGTTTATTGCTATTATAAATAAATAAACTCTAAAAAACATATTTCTATTATAAATAATCTCTCAATGCATACAATGATGGATAAAGTAATATTTAAAAGTGTTCTAGATGTTCTCAATTAATACAATGGGTTAGTTTTCTTTCCTGTAATATTTATATTGTAGATATTGCTGTATGTGTAAAGAGCACAAGAACACATTTTGTTACATTTTCTCAATGTATTGGTGCACTAATGGTTTAATCAAAATGTGTAGCTTTCAACCTATTTTCATATGGAAAATCTGAATATTCATATCTGAAAAAATGGAGCAATTTTTGAGAAATTGTCGTTAAAGCGTTTTTGGGAATGCTCTATTATGAGTTCCCTCACACTCGAAAACATTTGGAATTTCTAAAAACTTGCCAAGTCATAAATGCAAGCATTTGTATTGGAAAAGCATTCTATCTATAAATACACTTGGAATGTAAATTTTAACGAAGCGCAAGAGTTTTTGAGAAGTTACATACATTAAATTTATACCTTATCATTTGTCCATTGAATCATGGAAACCCGATTGAAATGGAGGTTATTGACGCAAAAGCTGAATTACAGTACTGGTAATTCCTCGCGAACTCAGCACGACCGCACACCCGATCATCTCAGATATTTTTATAAACGACCATAACTTTGTTTGATATGTTGCAAAGACTTATTTGACAAAGTTTCAGCCTTCTATGATAATAATTTTCTGTTTTACAAGCAATAGATTTTGAATGGATAAAAGGCAATTTTAGAAATACTTAATTTTGTTTTACTCACAATGAGTCAATTTACTTCACAAAACACACCAAAATACATTAATTCTGAATGAAAATATATCAAAGAATCGATTGGTGGCATTTTCTATTGTAAATTGTTAGTCTATACTAGCCAAAATGGCGCTTTTTTAAAAAAGACAATTTTTTATAAAAATTAAAAAGTTCATGTTTCTCCTCTTTTTAAAATTATCAACCAACAATATAAGTATTTGTTTTTAGATATACTCGCATAATATTAATCATTTTTTGGGGGGAATTGTATCTGAAACCATTTTTTATTGATTTTATTGGGTACACACAGGTTGTAGAGATACCTATTTTATTTTACTTATTTCATTACTCATTTCTTTCGCTAAAATCATGGAAAACTACATCCAAACTGATGAACTTTAAACGGATCGGTTTTGGCGCTTTCAAAGTTCATCTTACTAATTTTTCTCACATATCTTCATTAATAACTTACTCTCGAACTTTTACTATAATTTTCTATCAAATTTACAAATATTGCAAAACGTAGTTAGGTACACGTATTACATTTGCCCCTAATTGTTAAGCCACATATGTAGCTGATGTTTGACACCTTCACGTGCTGATGCAGTATAATATATTTCGGGTACCAACCCGAATTAGTGCAAGACGAGTTGCCTTTCAATCAGGAGCAAACGTCACATGTACAAATGGACAAATGTCACATTCTTCCTTATATGTAATTTGCATGGTCATTGGCAAAAATTGATCATCTCCGAGACATTGCATTCCCCAGAAGTTGTATCATTTTTCTGAGAATTCGTATGTATGTCGATGTAATACACACCACTTTTAAATTCGGCTCTCCAACATCCTTCAATTCTAAAATAGTTACAAATGTTTTACTTTTATTTCTACAAAATGCATGGCATATAACATCGACATAGCTACAAAGTAAATGGTATGAAACATTTATGGATCCGTCACATATTGGACCTTTGGGTGCTCTTATAAATCATTTTATTCTACATCCCATTACATGCATTCTTGATACAGAAAATGCGCATTAGAGAAAACGTTTAGTCATACTTGGCTAGTCATCTAAACGGTTCACCACAAATTCTTATAATTCAAATTTACGAAATTTGATTTGTTTCTCAAATTATGGTGTTGACCCACCATGAAGCATAATCAAGGAGCTATTTAAGTAGTTGATTAATTTGCATTACATTGGATTGGATTCTTTGTGACAATAGAATTCTTCCAGCCTGTAAATAGCAAATAAGTATGCATAAAATCGAATGTAAGGTGCTAAGTCAGTTAATTGCGTCTGTGCTCTTATTGTTGACCTTAATCCCTTCGTAAATCACAGCACACATTCACGCGGATCTCTTACGTAACGTAGCAAGTCTTTTGGAGCTACCATTTCATTGTCAAACAGCATATTACCTAAGATTGGCTTCATCTCTTTCCGTTTCTAACATGCTGCGAATGCGACCATTCTCTTCTTGCAAGGCAAGTTTCCTCCGGAGGAGATCAAGATGTAAATCTTTTCTCTGAAGTTGTTCTCGCAATGTCCTGACTCGTCGCTGCAATTGGTAGACTGCAGATGTCTGTAAATACATAAGTTATATCAATTCTAACTTCAAAAGTATGTAACCATCAACATTTGACTACTGGATCCCGTAAATCGATACCCGAATTTTCAGGCATCAATTTGCATATAAAGCAAGCAGAGGTGATAATAATAATTGAAGTAGAAATGCGCATTAACATTTTAAATAATTACAATACGTGTAATTAATTAAAATATTTGTGTTAATTATAAACAAAATAATTTTCAGAGATTCTGCATTTAAAATTGCGATTCAGATTTCTCAAGATAACTAAGATGTTCTCTAATATCAATAGGGGTTAGAGCTTTCGTGATAGTCAATTCTCTTATAATATTTCATATTAAGGGTCTTTTACCAATTGCGTTTTTGCTAACCGCATAGAAATTTGAGTTTTCAACGTCTTGATGAAAAAGTTTGGCTATTGATATTCCTGTGAAGTAAATGCTTTCGTATTCTTTGGTTTAATCTGTTTTCCTGCAAGCTCCTACCTCAGCTACCTACCCGCGTGTGTATTAACGGTATCACTAGTCATCTCCGTACCGCTCTTCTTTGTGTTCAACAGCTGCGCGTACGCTCCCGTGATTCACAGCAAAACCTATTTCGCATTATTCCTTTGATGTTTTCTCACTGTATTGATGGCAACAAAGGTAGATTACATCATCAGATAAGTTGCTGGTATTACTGGTCCCTATTACACCACTGGCGAACGTATTCGATTTGACTGGTAAACGTCAACCAAAGGAGAGAAGCTTGGTTGCCCTTCATTTCACATCTACGACAACTGACTGCATGACCTGGAGAGGAAAATATTTAGAAATATTTACTGCAGTTTACTGCACACAAGTCTTACCATTAGTGAAAAACAGGGATCGGGAATGGTAACACAAGAAGGGTGACAGAAATGCCAGATTCAGTAGACGAATTGCTTAACTAGGCTCCATCATGTCACTGAGGTTTTCAGCAATTTCGAGGATCCGTGGTTCTTGAACGGGTGGCCGTATGGGAACAACGCGTACTAAAGTCGCTGAGAACGTAGCCAAAGGGATACAGGGGAAAATAATAAAGCAAATTTAAAAAAGAATCACGATTTATTGGCTCTCTTTCCTGTTTGCTGTATACGAAATACAATTTTAAAAACTCCTGTTCTTATTATAGAAGTATTCGTCCTGTTGTATTCTGATCATAAATACAAATCACCAAAAAGTTACTAAAAGTTCCAAGCAATTGCAGAATACACGCTTCCACAAAAATAAAACTGTCTTACGAAGAAAAGACCTTGGGGTATTTACCATTATTTTGCTAAATGCGAATAATTGAACGATTGTAAGATTGGAAAAATAATTTGTTGTTGCTGTGTCAAGTCATACATTCGACGCAATCATGGAAATTCGAAGGAATATCCCGTAAACTAAAAAGGTGATAAAATGTATGTTTTGGCAAAACGAGTATATGCGTGTAACTTCTAAAATCAAACCTAAAAGAGTATACTAATATACATCAAGGCTTAGCAAAAGCGATCACTGTTGTTACTAATGAGGAAAAGTTCACTCGAGAAGGTATGTATATATAGGTACCAACTATCACGTACTATTTAATGCAGGGATGGACAATCCACGGCCCCCTGGTCTACATGTCGCTCGCATTTAACCCAGAGGGCCAGAACTATACCAGAATCCTGAATAATACTAGCATAGATAATTTTGTGATTTTGCTTAAAACATACGTTTCCAAACTCTCGATCTGTACAAGAACATGTAATTTTCTAAAGAAGTGAAGATGTTTCAGTGTTAACTGTAAGCATGAAACAGACTAATCTCCCGAGGCAGTAGCATTAACCTCCCTCAATAGCACCAGATTTTAAATGATTCTTAAAAAATGTATGATAAAATTTTGTGATTTAATTTAAGCTTGATGGGAAGCCAACCTTGACCTCCTGATTGAGGATCCAGCGCGTTTCTCTCTGAGACACTTCGCTCGGTGTCGTCGTCGTCGTCGTTGTTGTTATTATTATTACTGTAACGTTTCTTCGTGGTGAATTCAAACGCACAGGATATATTTTAACAATGACGTTTATTTTGTTTCTTAATGATACTCTAAAATACATGATTTATTAACAGATAGGATTCACAGCCCTTGTGTTTTCCACTTGGTTATTTCCTTACACACGTCACAGTTGACGTGATTATTTACACTGTTCACTTCTTCTGATTATTTATTTACAATGTTCACTTCTACATTGTCGCACTGTCAGATTCACCTACCACTGTCTGATGCACTGTCCTCAGTTCACTACGGTGGCTACAGGTCACGGCGCTTATCACGGTCCTCTGCACTGCTGCTCACCTACTGTTCACCACTGTTCACCGCAATGCACACTTCACAGCTCAGCTTCCACTTCAAACAGACTACTGCATACTCACACTGCCTGACTGACTCGCGGCCGCGGGCAGCGGCGAGTTTATACTTGGTTGGCGCCCGTCTTGACTCATCCGGAACTTGCGTCATACTTCTACACGACTCGCGAATAACCTAATTCTGCAGCTGACACCGGAACCTTTGCAGAACCAAGGTGCCTGCTTCCCTTTCAAACTCAGGCGGTCAGGATTCAACGTGAAGTTTTATCAATAAAAACTTCCTCACGATGTGTGCAGTGCTCAGGAGAACAATCTTTTGCATTGACTGAATGTGCCAGTTCCTAAGGCCAAGCCTTGCAGACGATAAAATCTGTTCTTCAGAGATCAGTCCATTTGCAGAGATGATCACAGGGACTACTTCAACAGATACTAACCGCCACATGTCGCTCAGTTCAATAGCCAAGGTCTGATATTTTCACTTCTCGCAACAGAGGCAACTATATTTCGGTCTAAAGGGATAGCTATGTCGACTACAAATTCCTTTCTGTGAAGCCTTATCAATCCATATTATGCCAGGTCTGTTGGCTTCGACCCTGCGATCAGTGGTGACTGCTACATTCCAAAAGAGCTTCCACCCTTTCGATTCCAAAACTGAATCCGGCTTGAACTTGTAGTATGGTACCTCAATCTGTATCATCTCCGACCTTGCAGCCAGGGCCTGATGGACAACCGCAGCAACGTTGTTGTGCCGACTCAGGTATTCTGTTTGCGCAAAATCAGAACACCCGCCCATGATGTGTTGGAGGGGTTCGCCGGGTTGATTGCAAGGGCATTCCTCTACACTCATATCCCCAATTACATACCTTTTGTAATTGCACAAATTGCTTCATGGTATTATCATCACGTAATTATTATTATTTAGCTTTGTTTCTATATTATACTTCTGCCAGAATGAAAAGGAAGGTTGTTGGAAAGTCTTTTCGTCCTTAAAAATTGCCTATGAATTCAGTCCTCAAAGTCCTTTAGAACGAAATATTGTGTTACTACTACTACTACTACTACTACTACTACTACTACTACTACTACTACTACTACTACTAATAATAATAATAATAATAATAATAATAATAATAATATTAATTTTGACGTTGATGCTGCCGATGAACATGTGGAAACAGTGCAACATGTTCACGAATTCTCGGAAGAGGACTTCTTCCAAGCAATTAGGAAAAGGGAAAATAGAATTCCCCTGGGACTGGTGATATCCAGAAATGTTGGATTAAAAAATTAACAGCAATACATTCTCATCTAGCAAATGTTGTTGATAAAATTTTTAAAAACCCAAAGGAACTCCCGAAATGGCACACATGCGGCATCACTTATTTGGAACCCAAAGCTTGAGCTCTTTGGCGAAGAACTACAGGCCAATCACTTGTCTACCAGTACTGTACAAAGTTATATCTGTAGACAGAGCTGACAAAATGTTCAGACACCTACAGAGGGGTCATTTGTTGCCAGTTGAATAAAAATGATGCCGTAAAAGTTCTTATGGTTGCAAGGAAATCTTACTACTACAGTCATCTTGAATTAGGTAAAGAAACGAAAGCGTAATTTGACCATGGCTTGGATTGACTACCAGAACGCCTTAGACAGTGTACCACAGGTTTAGATTTTGATGACCCTAAAGAACTACGGATTTCATCCTAGGATTATTAAGTTTTGCAAGGGTAGTATAAAGTCGTGGAGTACCAGGTTACTAATATACAGCGGAAAGGAAGCAGTAGAAACAAGAAGTATTCAGATCAACAGGTGTATTTTTTCAAAGAGATTCGCTATCCCCTGTGCTGTTTGTCAATAGTTTGATTCCACTATCTAGACAGTTGTCACAAACAGATTTTGGTTACAAGTTTCACGCTGATGAAAGACCACTATCACATTTGTTTTACATAGATGATCTGAAAGTGTTTGCTAAGAATGAAGCGATTCTCTTCCAAATGCTGTGTGGTGAATGGTTTTAGCAATGACATCTGCATGAAATTTGGTCTTGACAAGTGCACAAAAATCAATTTAAAGAGAGGATTTAGAGAGAGATTAGTCGTTGAGAACACAATATAATAAAGTGGTTCTCAAAATTTCCCAAGGGGATAAATGGCGTGTCTGCCAGGAAGAAGTAGACACCAGTGATCACATTGTCTCAGCTTGTCCAATTTTAGCAAAGACCGACTACTTGAAAAGACATGACACTGTACCTGGCATATCTGGCAGAGTTATACCGCTCTATAATTTCCAAACACACGCCTCAAGTGGTACGAACATTCACCAATAACGATGACATCTGTTGGTCTCTATACAATATTGTATGACCAACAAATTCAAACGGATCTCATGATATCAACAAACAAACCGGATATTTTTATTCGGCATTTGAAGGGAAATCGTGTCTACTCGTAGAAATTGCTATGCCTTGCGATCAAAACGGCGTAACCAAGGAGGAAGAGAAACGTCTTAAATACGAGTGTTTGGAAATCGAGACCAGCCAAATGTGGGGCGTAAAACCACAGGTCGTACCGATAGTCATCGGAGCTCTTGGATTTACTCCACAAAATTTGTGCTAGAACTTAAATAAACTCCCAAGTATTTCAAAAGACTGGGAAGTGCAAGAAATTGCTTTATTTGGAACAGCCCACATTTTGCGCAAAGTATTGTACAGACACCGTCCATTGACTAGATCTGCTCCTTATGTAGCTGGTAGCAATCTGGAGTAAATTTTATATTCAGCTGACTCATAACATTTTGTTGTGATGTAGAGGGAAAATAATTAATAATATTAACAATTATAATAGTAACAATAATAACAATACTTCAAACAAATCATCGACCTAAAGACACTTTCATAATATATTTATGGCCTACAGAATTTCATAAAGTTCACGCTCTACATAAATAGTTCTTTCCGACGTTCCGTAATTTTTATTTTTTAAATATTTTCTCAATTTAAATATTATCTTAATTTTTTTAAAAACCACCTGCAAAAAGAAGAATAAATTTGAAATTTTTAAAATGTTACGAATCAATATAGTTTTCTAAAAACGAGTAATTGAGACAAAGAAACTAACAAAAAGGTATTAGAAAAACCTATGGAGAAATTCGAAGGTTGGTGTTAAGAAATGTCAATGCTGGTATGATTTTCCAATTAAAATTTTCCAAAAGAACTCAGCGTCCTCGAATTTATTATCTTCCCAACTTATATTGAGTTTCAGTATGACCCCCAAAAACAGTGCGTGGAGTATTGAGCTCAATTGGAGGAGCTCTCTCGTAATCCAAAGAAACTCCGGGAACCTTGAGTAGTGGTATTGAAGTAAGACACCGTTTTAATCACAGAAAACATATTGCCCTTGTTTTCTAATGTTAAGTTGTGAAATAATTTTAGCAATTGTAAGGTATACACATAACGAACATTTTCTACCAAGAAGGATCCCAACACATTAATGTGCACCTA